GTGACCGAACTACAGCGTTTTATCGGCTTCTCAAACCTCTACCGGCGATTCATTGACCACTTTTCAGGAATAGCCCGACCCCTCCACGACTTGACCAAGGACAAAACTCCCTACGTCTGGGACGACCATTGCAACAAGGCCTTTGAAACTCTGAAAACCGCATTCACCACGGCGCCAGTACTGAAGATAGCCAACCCGTACAGGCCTTTTGTCCTTGAATGTGATTGCTCGGACTTTGCACTCGGTGCCGTCTTATCCCAAATCTGCGACAAGGATCAGGAACTTCACCCGGTGGCGTATTTATCACGATCACTGGTCCAATCCGAGAAGAACTATGAGATTTTTGACAAGGAATTGCTGGCAATTGTGGCATCTTTCAAGGAATGGCGTCACTATCTCGAGGGCAACCCGAATCGACTACAAGCAATTGTCTACACTGACCACCGGAACCTTGAAAGCTTCATGACAACCAAGCAACTGACAAGGAGGCAAGCGAGATGGGCCGAAACCATGGGATGCTTTGACTTTGAGATTGTTTTCCGACCGGGCCGACAGTCATCCAAACCGGATGCACTGTCAAGACGACCCGACCTGGCGCCTTCGAAGGAGGACAAGCTCACCTTTGGACAACTTTTGCGACCCGAGAACATCACCCCCGACACTTTCGCTGAAGTGGCTGAATTTGACTGCTGGTTTGAAGACGAGTCTGTGGATCTGGAGGACGCCGAACATTGGTTCCAAGTGGACATTCTCGGTGTGGAGGAGCCCAACACTCCGTCAGAGGATATTCCAACAGACAGCGAACTGATAAGCCAAATCCGATCTCTGACTCCATCTGATTCCAGACTGACCGAATTGATTTCAGCCTGTGAGAACCCAGTGTCCAGTCGAATGAAGGAGGCCACCAAGCATTACTCGGTGAAGGACGGGGTGCTCTACAGGAGCGGACGGATTGAAGTACCCAGGAATGAAGACCTCAAGACCAAAATTCTGAGGAGCCGCCATGACAGCAAGTTAGCAGGACACCCAGGAAGATCAAAAACGCTCTCGCTGATACGC